CTGACTTGCTTCCTAACTCTCTTATCCTAACCTAACCTGCTTAGCAACTTAGCAACCAACACAACCTAACCTAGCCTACTTTCTTCTAACTTAACCTAACTAACCTAACCTAACTTCTTATTTACAACCTGACTTAACCTAGCCTACTCTGTCTAACTAGCCTGGCTTAACAGCAACTTAACCTACAACCTAACCTAACTTCTCCTTCTTCTTCTTCTAACCTAACCTAACCTGACACAAGCCTGGCTTAGCTTCTTCTCTGTCTAACTAGCTGACTTAGCAACCTGAACCTAACCTAACCTAACTGCCTAGCCTAACCTAACTCAACCTATCCTGTCCTGCTTATACAATACCTAACAGCTCAACCTGCTCTGTCTCTTCCTATTACCAAACAACCAACCAACACTACCTGTCCTAGCCCAACTAGCCTAGCCCTAACCTAACCTAAACACAACTAGCCTAACCCCTGTCCTGAGGCCTGACCTGAGCAACCTGGCCTGCTCTATCCTAGCCTAACCTGACTTAGCAGCAACAGCACAACCTAACCTAAGCTTAGCCCTAACCTAGCCTAATCCTAACCCTAACCTACTCTGTCCTAACTTAACTCACACCCGAGGCATTAGGGAAAGCTTGTGTCTAATCTTCAGATGAATAAAATTGAGTATAATTAAAGTGTGATTTATAACGTGGTGGTATAGTGCGTGTGTGTGTGTGTGTGTGTGTGTGTGTGTGTGTGTGTGTGCGTGTGTGTGTGTGTGTGTGTGTGTGTGTGTGTGTGTGTGTGTGTGTGTGTGTGTGTGTGTGTGTCTAGGTGCTATTTTATCATTGGCAGAGATTGTTGTGTTATTTTGGTTTGAGTGAATAACACACACACACACACACACACACACACACACACACAGGTAATCAATAAATAAGATCATGGTTCTCTCCAGTGGTGTACATCAGAGACCCATCCCTCATATCCTGCCCTGGAAGTGTGGCTCTCCTTCCCTCCTCCACCACTACACCTCCCTGACGTGGCTCTCCTCCTCCTCCCTCCACCCTACACCCTCTCCTGACGTGTGCCTCCTCCTCCTCCACACATCCCAACACAATTCCCTTACCTCCTCAAGCCGCCTTGCCTCTTCACCCACCCCATTCATGCGCACACGCCCTCCCCCCACACCCCAGCACCCCCTAGGTGCAGTAAACAAATACCAGTGACCTGCGTTCTGACTTTAATTGCAATAATCGCCCCAATGTTATCACGAAACGACTCAATTATTGATGGTCTTGTGCAGTGATACTGGCAGAATGTGTGGTTTAGTTTAGTACGTTTGTGTTGTGAGTCGTGGTATTGTTGGTTGTGGTCGTGGTATTGTTGGTTGTGGAGTCGTGGTATTGTTGGTTTTGGGGTCGTGGTGTTATTGGTTGTATGGTCGTGGTATTGTTGGTTGTGGTCGTGGTATTGTTGTGAGTCGTGGTACTGTTGGTTGTAGTCGTGGTATTGTTGTTGTGAGTCATGGTATTGTTGTTGTGAGTCGTGTTATTGTTGTTGTGATCGTGGTACTGTTGGTTGTGAGTCGTGGTACTGTTGGTTTTGAGTCGTTATTATTGTTGTTGTTGAGTCGTGGTACTGTTGGTTGTGAGTCGTGTATTGCTGGTTGTGAGTCGTTATATTGTTGTTGGTCGTGGTATTGTTGTTATGAGTCAATGGTATTATTGTTGTGAATCGTGGTATTGTTGTTGTGGAGTCGATGGTATTGTTGATTTGTGAGTCATTAGTACTGTTGGTTGTGAGTCGTGGTATTGTTGTTGTGAGTCGTGGTATTATTGATGTTGTGAGTCGTGGTATTGTTATTTGTGAGTCGTTTAGTCGTTATAAGTCGTTTAATCGTCAAGGAATTTGCATATGGACTGACACTCTACAGACAAATCTATGACACATCCTATTAGTGAGGTTGAGTCGTACGGGTGGATACAGGTACGCCTGTAAAGTGCACCTATAGGACACAAGTACAGGTATAGATACAATGTTAGGTGGTTTCATGTGTGTGTGTGTCTGTGTGTGTGTGTAACTTATCTCTACCATCCCCCACATCACCATCCCCCCACATCACCTCCCCCCCTCCCCAACAAGAGTGAACACAAAATCGATGTGTTAACTCCACCCCCACCAGTACTATAATTGGCCATATCATCAATATTGTCTCTTCTGTAATCGTGTGCATCATCCTCATTATCAACCGCCTATTATTTATATCGTCCGTGGGATGATTAAGTTCACTTGTGATGTCTGTGTGTGTGTGTGTGTGTGTGGTGTGTGTGTGTGTGTGGTGTGTGTGTGTGGTAATTTGTTAGTGTGTGTGTGTGTGTCGAACATGGGCTTAAAACAGCAACAGCAAACAACGTGAATCCCATGACGAATGGACTCTTAATACTGTCATGATAAACACCTGCAGAGACCCTCGGCAGATCAAAGAACACACCAGGACTGGTTTGGTGAAAATGACCCGGCAATCAAAGTAATCATCGATGAATAAATGTGCTGCTTTAACTGACTGGCAGAAAAACCTCTCAGTCTCAGATTAAGCTGATACCCTCCGCAAGAAAGTGGCGGCAACGAGAACTTACGAATCAAAGAACGACTGACTTAAAAATAAAGCATGTGAAGCACAAAAACTTGCAGATCAGCACAAGATGAGCGAATTTTTCATTTCCACTAAGACATTTTACTGTCGATCACTCGTGGCGCAGCCCCTTCCCTCATCTGACGGTAACCACATAATTAAAGACGACGAAGGCCTCCTTCAGCGCTGGAAAAACACTACCATTCGTTGTTCAGCAGAAACACCGATGTGGATGTCCTGACTACCCAGCAGTTCCTCAGCATCCAGGGCTGACCACCTCAGTATCCTCCATCCCTGGCTGAGGTAGCTACTGCCATCAAACAGATGAAAAATAACAAAGCCTCAGGGCAATGGAATCAGCCGGTGTATAAAGTAGGAGGACCTCTACTTACCAGTCGTCTCCACTCTCTCTGGAGAATATATGGGAAAAGGAGGAAATCCCCAAGCTCTTAAAGACGCCTCCATTGTCATGTTATAGGAACAAAGAGACCGGTCAGACTGTGGCAACTACCGTGGGATCTCGCTGTCTCCGTAGCTGGAAAGATTGTCCCTGGTCCTCCTAAACAGACTTCTTCTGAGAAAACTTCCTCAGGTTTCCCCATCAAACAGGGGTTAAACAAGGATGTGCTGGCAACTCTCTTTTCATCTTCTTGGCTGCCTTCTTACTCATGCCAGTGCCAATTTAGCCAGCGGGGTGAACATGATACCAGGTGAAGGGGTCTTTTCAACATAAGACGACTCCAGGCAAGAACAAAGGTGTAGGCCTTCTATTACTGAGCTTCAGTATGCAGACGACCTCACCCTTATTGCCCACACTGAACTTAGACCTGGGAGACCTGAACACCTACACAGACGTGCCGCGTATGCCATTCCTCAGTGACCTCCACCATCAAACACTAGCAAGGAGTTTGGGATGGACTACTACCACCCTCGTCATAGCACCTCCTGCCTGCAGCCCCCCCGCCCTCGCGCAGTCGCCACTACAACAAAATTCGGCCCATGAGCCCGCACTGATAGTATAGAATAGCACCATCCATCTATGCTAAAATAATAAACAACTCTTGATTTATATGCTAGGCCCTAAATGTATTTCATCATATTATATCATTATGTCTAAATCAAATGTAAGTTTATATATAAAACGCAACTGCAACTCTCTATTAATAAACCGTTTATTATTTTATCATTATTATTATGTATTATCATTATTATTATTATTATTATTATTACACACATTATTATTATTACACACACACACACACACACACACACACACACACACACACACACTGTGACGTATTGTAGAACCAACAAAATGTCAGTTATGGTTAAAAGGTCAAGAAGGACTTCAATCTCGCACATTAACATTATCAAATTCTAAAATTTTATAAGTTTTGATTGGTAAAATCTCATATGTTGGACGGAGGGAGGAGGAGGATGCTCCTGTAATAGCATGTTGGGTTGTGCTGTATACAGGTTATGTATGAGCTTCTTCCACACACGTGCAAATACACAAGTCACTGCAAGGCACAAACATACATTCTTGTGGCTCAAGGCATGTCTTATAGTCAGTATTTGCACACATGAGGGACAACAGGCCTGGTCCATGAATCTGTCACCGAGCAAAGACACGGACAGTAATCTACACATACGTATCACACACACACACACACACACACACACACACACACTGTTTTTATCTCGTGTTTTCCAGAAGCCCTCAGCAGGTGAGGTGGAGTGACCCTCCTCTGTTGCGTCTTTTGCCCATGGCTGCTTCCGAAGAAAAGGAGGTGTTCCAGGACACCATGCCTCCGGCCAGCGGCTCCGACACCGCCTCCGGGGACAGCAGCCACCGTGGCTCCATTTTCCGCCCTCCGGGAACACGACTCCGGCCTGGCTCACGACACCATGCCTCCGACACCATGCCTCCCGGCACCGGCCTCCGACCACCGCCTCCACGACACCGCCTCCACGACACCACGACACCATGCCTCCACGACAACGACTCCACGACACCATGCCCATTGAGAACACGACCCACGACACCATGACTCCACGACACCATGCTCCACGACACCATGCCCACGACACCACGACCCACGACACCACGCCCCACGACACCACGCGCCCACGAGACACCACGACGACAATTGGCGCTCCAATGACAGCCACGACCTAATGACACCATGCCCACGACAAATAATGACTCCACGAGAACACGACTCCACCACACCATGACCTAATGAGAACACGACCCATGACACCATGCCCAATGACACCATGACTTCACGACAATGACTCACGACAACACGACTGGTTCACGAGCATGTCACGACAACATGCCCACGACAACACGACTACGGACACTGGCTCCCGACAACATGCTCCATGACACTTTACTCCGCACGACTCCATGTAGACACCGCGACTCAAGACACCATGACTCCACGACATTACGACTTGACGACACCATGGACTCCACGACACCACGACTCACGACACCATGACACGCGACTCCACGACAACACGACTCCACGACACCGTGGCTCCACGACAACACGACTCCACGACTCCATGACAACACGACTCCACGACATCATGACTCCACGACACCATGACTCCACGACAACACGACTCCACGACAACACGACTCCACGACACCATGACTCGACTCCACGACAACACGACCCACGACACCATGACTCCACGACAACATGCCGACAACACGACTCCAGACACCATGCTCACGACACCATGACCGACACCATGCCACGACAACACGACCCACGACCATGGCTACGAGACACGACTCCGACCTTGCCTCCACGAGCACGTAGAGACATGTTCACGACCCATGGCTCACGAGAACTTGACTCGTACGAGACATGCCCACGACACCATGCCTCCACGAGAAAGTTTTCCTACGACAACATGACTCCACGAGCACGACTCCGAGAACAGTTTCCACGATTACACGGCCACGAGAACACGACTCCACGAACCATGACTTCTGCTCCAAGAGAACACGACTCCACGACAATGTTACGACTCGGAGACACTACTCATCTACAACACGACTCCACGAGTCTACGACAAGCGAATCCAGACACCGAATCCACGACTCACGAGAACACGACCTTACGAGAACACGACTCCAAGACACCATGACTCCACGACGCCCACGACAAAACAACCTCACGACAAGAACTTCCCACACAAATTGGAGTCCACAACACCACCATGCCCCACGACAAGACAACCTCACGACAAGACCACCCACGACAAGACCACCCCACACAACTCAAGTCACAACACCACCACCCACAAGACCGTGACAAGACCACCCACGACAAGGACCACCAACACAA